GGTGCACCACGAGGAGGTAAGTCTATCGCGCACCCCTAAAATTGAAAAATAACAACAGTAAAGTTGCCTGAGTTCATCAATGCCAGCCAGATGTGATAATTTTTCCATTTAACATAAAGATAAGTAAATTTTCCATTTCAATACATAAGCGTTGGTTTTCTCACCACCTAGGCTTAAAGGGGTCAGTTACACAGAAGGTGTTGTATTTTTGCAGAACGGCATTCGCAAGTTCTTTCACATTTTGATACCACAGATATAGCTTTCTATTACCATTATAGTTTTATTTTCCTCCAAAATAGCCACGAATGCCCTCTGCCACTATCCCAAAAATTAATGAATATATATGGGTTTAAGTTGAATTCAGCAATTTATGCAAAACCCGCAAAATAGCAAACTGTAATATAAGTAAATTTTGACAAAGTGTTTAATTTGTAAATAATTGCAACGATTTGTTAATTCATTTATTTATGTGTTGAACTGCTCATTCTTATCCATTTTTACTTATGCTGATCAATCACAAAAGCAGCATGATTCATTACTAATTAAAATTCCAGGCATGCTTTGACATCATTTCTCTTCCGTTTCGCAATGCTTTCAATTAATGTTTTTCAGTGTCATTTTCAAGCCGGAGAATGGCAATATGTTTATAGCGGTCGAAATTCATAATAGCCTACTGGATGTTCTTAAGTAACGAAATGTATCTTCTAATTTTGCTCCAGCAAGATAGATCCCAAAATACAAGTTTAGGAAGCTTTTTAAAGGATGAAAATAACCTGATGTTTATTGGAATTAGTGTGAAATAATCAAAAGCAGAAACTTGATTTTTTCATAAAAGTATGTGTTTTCCATGGAATCTATGAAGAGCCCGATCGCACAAATACTTTGAGAATCGCAACTGAAAAGATTGTCAAATTATGAGAGAACGACTAAGTGACACACATTGGCAATATGTCCAAGTAAAACCGAACTAGGTTGGCTTTAAAAAATTCTCCAGGAATTGATAGCATTAAGAATTAACAGATGATCATACATGCGAATATTTAAAATACTTAAATGGGATATTGTTGAAATTATGGAATTTCATGTCTGATGAAATGGGGGTGTGCGATGAACTTACCTCCACGTGGTGCACCCTGGGCAACGTATACTCATACGGCAAAAAAGTCAAACTACCATGACCCCATTACATTTCATATTCGAATAACTCCACAGTATTCATTTCACCTTTTGTCTACCTTTGTGTCTGTCTCTTTTACGTCTGTGAATCATTATCCTGTCCCCCTCTAGACTTTTTACCAGTTGGATGTTCATCTTCCTTTCTGTGAAGCCCGAAGTCAACTAAAGGGCTAATGATAACTATCAGAACGCCTGCCATTTGATATAAATGTCTGATGAAATATCAAAACCTTCTCAATAATTTTAAATTTTATTTTAAAATGTTCTAATTATAAAATATACCCATGATTTTTATATTTATGGGAACATTTAAAAAGCCAAAATTTGAAGAGTTGTAAGGACAATTAATGCTGTTATAAGTTATCAAAGTTTGCGCAGAATTACAATTTGCATTTGCACATTATTCTCTCAAGTAGGTGGGACTGAGGCTGTTAAGAGTGCTTGGAAATTAATTTTGCTCGTACTTACCTGTCGTTACGCTTCGGCACTCGTTTTGAATTACAATTTTTTACTTTAGCAGCTTTGTGCAATCATTTTAATGAACTTATCTTCCCAAATACTGGATCAGGATGGTAAAATTACAATTCAGATGTCCCCCTGGGGCGGTTTTTTCGTTTGGATAGCTGATCGTAAGTATTATTTCACATAATTGTTATTTTTAAATGGATATTCTAGACGTGGAGCAATTAAGGAGAAAACACAGAATTCTAGGTCACCTTTCTACTGATCCATGTGGTCCCTCCTCGAATAGCATCAATTCTATTTGCTTACCATTAGTTTTGAGCCTCGAGGAGACAGTTTTTCTCCTATACTCTGAAATTGCAGAACTTCAGTCTTCCAAACCGGTTATTGATCTTAATCCTCCTTCGCCCAGAACGCTTTACAAATTTGATTTGGCTCTTAACCAGCACTACAAGCAATCGGTGGGTGAAATATTGATTTAAAGGTTACTGTTTTCACTTCTTATTCAGTCGCATATTTTATGGGGCTTATTCTTTGTTTCTTTTTTAATGATAATGTCCGTGGGTGTGGTTTATAACACACTGGTTTTATAGTAAAGTGCATATCCCTTAAAGACAATTTGTGGTTGCTGCTAAGACCAATATCTGATGCATATATAGCCTACTTGGGGGTGCGATCATGCTTTTTTGCTTTTAGTGCATAGCTGATTTATTTATTTGAAGACATTTCGTCCTATTTTTCTGTAAATTCGTTGATGTAGGTCTCATAGATAGTGGAACCGCCTTTAATATTATATTTCGTTACTGTGCAAATTGGATGATCTAATGATCCATCCTTTTCCATGTGCTTGAATGTTTCTAGACTTTCATAAAACTATTTCTTTATAAATCAATTATTTAGCCATATCTCTATTATTTTTACTGTTCATATTTCTAAATACAGTCACACTGTTGTGCCTATATTTTTTCCTTCAACAGTCAGAGATATTGAAGCTTCAAAAACGACAGAGGACTCTGTGCTACTACAATGAGGTGCTCAAGGGTCAAAAGAAACGAAAAGAACGCCAAGCTGCTAGGTCTGGTGAAGTAACTCCTACAGCTAATCAAAGCGGTTTGTTTAGCTTCCTTTTATTGAATCTAGTCTTGCTCTGTTTCAGCATTCCTTGCCTCAAGATTTTCTTGTCTGAAAATGTCTCTTTGTAAATTATCCTAGGCTATTGTACTCCATCCCTATCTCTACTTTTATTTGTCGTTACCTTAAGTCAGTCAGATTGCATTAAGAACTAGGTGTTTTTGGAACTCTGATGCTTACGTTGCATTCATTGGCTTTTGTCAAAATGTTGCTAGGTAGTATGCATCAGTAAACGCTGATCACCACGTAGAGATATTGATAATTGCACCTATATTGTAATCGATAAATGTGAGCGACTTGACTTATTCCCTCTAAATTAAAAGTCCAACTTATATGAGAATTATGTCCTTTTTTCTAATACTTGTGACTAAGTGTTTAAATTCTTTGCTCTTCAACGCTTCATATTTTTCTTTATAAACCTAACCAGTTACTAGTTTTAAATCAGTAGCATTATTTATATATTCAATTATTAAGTATTTGGAGGTCATGTATAACCATTTGGGAGTTTTGGTCGTGCCGTTCCCTTTAAAATCCTTATTACGGAGGTGGGTATTTCAACAGATTATAGCGTTTTGGGATTTCTTTATGCATGAAGGTGTTTTCTATCTTCTATTTTTATTTATTCATCAAATTGTTTTCCAATTGATTTCATTTCCTTACGTACCTTTTTTCTACTAATGTAGCTATTAAACGTCGGAAAATGGGTGATTCTGATGCAGAATCTACACCGGGTTACTTGGTCGGTAACTGCTCATCTACTGAAGAAGTCAATTCTATACCACAGGGTCCACAGCCAACTTTGGATGAGTTAATTGCGACCACGACTAGGCAAGAGGAGGATGAAAAAGAGTTGGTAAACTTCATTCCCATTCATCGCCCTCGACCAACGCCCAAAGAATGGATACGGGAGGGAGAACATTCATCACTACCCCTTCCATTTGAATCTCGGGGGAGTATCAAGGATGGTAGGAAATGGGACTTAAATAAGCATTTCTTATAGCATGTTTTATAGATAAAACAAATTAGAACTAAAGGCCACAAAAGTCTCTAAGAGTTTAAAATTTTGCGAAGTGTAAAACCGGATGGACGAGATGGCCTTGATTGAAATTGGTGGGAGAAGCTACAGAAAGATAAAGCTGCTCTACTAACTCCAAGTTGGCGTGTGTCACTGTTTGATGGAATCGGAGAGGTGTGAGTCGAATATGCATAATTTTGGACAGTGAAGTTTTTGCCGAACTACTTTTGACTCTTAGGGTAAACGTCAAAAGATTTCGATGAGCCTTCTGTAAACAAGCGCAGACACCCTATCTTAGCGGACGATTTTGTCAATCTCTTGAGAATTTAATTCGAAATTAAAATTTCATCCAGGCGTGTCAATTATATAAACTTCAGTTTCCGGTGGATTTATCTTAGTGGTAGTAAAGGCCGTTACGATTTCCATTCTTATGTACCTCTTAGCTATATCAAAAAATTTTAGCACCCTATGAATGGGAATCGTGTCCTAACTGAAAAACTCGTGTTTGGCCGTATCCCCTTTTAGCTTCGATTAGCAAGCATACGTTTACTTAAAAACGGTAAATGAGTTTACAGGAATATAAGCGCACTCATCGCCTTATTGTATATGTGTAAATCATGGCAGTTGGCGCTCTTCTTTTTAGTTGCACGGTGGCTTCTGGACTTGTCTTCGAAATCCCGACCAGAGAGTGAAGAAGCCATCATTATCCGTTGCATGGTATTCGAAGACCTCTGGTCCAAGGGCTTCTATATTACCTGTTCAGCCTCTAAAATGGGCGGTGATTTTCTCGTATATCAAGGTAGTTAGTATGTGCTTGATTAAGTTTTCACCTTTTTTGTATTTTTTCCCTGTTTAATTGGGGAAAATTTATTTTAATCTGTCGAGTCACTTGTTTTATAGTTGTTCCGAATATTTACGTTCATTCGTTTCCCTCTACGGCGTCTTATGGACCAACCTCTCCAGATATCGTGAAGCGAATCACACAAGGTCCTGGTTGAGATAAGGGATCTATTTGGGACAAACTGCAGAATCCGGGTAGACCTTAGAGAGAACACGTCTTGTCTAGTTCATATGGTCCTGCATTGTATTATTTCAAACTTGTTAGATTGGCAAACTGGACACGTTTGAGGGTGGAGGAAGATCGGTCATATTCAAGTGACTGTTCCTCAAAGCAAATTTATTACATAATCCCATGATGATGCCATAGTTCATTATATTATTTACTGAGAAGAGGAAATCGGGTTGTGGAATTTGGCTGTTACCTTATCGACTCCAATTATCTTTTTAAAAATTACGATTTGCTTTTGTCTTTAAAATCTTGGTGTTTAAGAGCTTTGGAGCTCATCTTCATCTGTATTCAGTACTACTTGCTGATGCCACCGTGTCCATCTTCGAAGCTAGAGTGTTAAGATAACACTTCCTAATCGTTTTTTGTATATTAGCAGAAACTTTAAGTACAACGCATCTGTGATTTTCTACTAACTTAACCATATGAATTAGAGCACTGTAACCATAGATAGAATGCTTGCATATAAGGGCTACGCATGCCAATGTTTTAACACCATACTTTTTCAACATCTTAGGTGACCCATTATTCTACCATGCGAGCCATATTGTGATTGCCAGTCCACCACAAGATCCCATCCACCTCAGTCGTTTGGCCGCTTCTCTTCGAATAGCCAACAGTGTTCGGAAAGCCCTTGTTATTGCCACCTCGAAATCTAATGAAAAAGGTCAAGATGGTCCCACAACTGTTGCTTACACCTCCCTTTATTGGATGGGTTCTCCTATTCCGCCCCAAAAATGTACAGTAGCTTTCGTAAAATAAATGGTCCTCATTTTTTGCCAACACTTCGTATCAATTTATTTGCATGTGCGATCTATTTATACGTGTAGCATGACTATTTGCTCAATATTTATTACCACACATATTTAACTATTCGTTATTCTAGCATCTTGATGAGTCTCGATGATTTGGAAGACTTCGATTTCACCGATTATCGCCCCGAGGATTTCGATTCCCTTGAGAAATTTGATTACTATTCAAATGGAAATGACGCTGATCATGTAGATCCCTATACCTTCTACGTGATGCAACAGTCTGATGAGAGCTTCTTGGCTTTCTTTTGGAGTATTGTCACACAGGTTTGGCCAAACATTTGGATCACCATTGTGATTTGCTTAATATGGAGGACATTCAAACTAATCTTTCAACTTATCTTGAAGCATGTGTCCACCTCATATCGTCGTGAGTGCTCCATTTTGTTGATATTCCCATTGGCTTTATTTTATTATTCACATTAGTCATCTTCTGATTGGTGGTTCCTTTAGTTTCGGTTGTATTCGATGTCCTACTTAATTGTGCTTCAGTAGCATTTGGGACCCTTCTTCTTTGGCATTTCTTTGGAGATCTCTACCTACGATTATGTGCATTCGTCTTCACAATTGGTTTGATATTATCATCACTGAATTTCTTTTCACCGAATGACTCCACTTCGAAAGACGTTAACTCAGGGCCCTGGGGATATTCGATGATATTGGTGACAGCCTATTGCCTTCTCCTCCAATTGTACTGGTTAGTCTTATTAAAGATACCAATTACAGAGCATGTTCGCATAAGTTCATTACCCTGGATTTCGTTTCAGCGAATTCTTCATGGATCCTCGCGATTGGCACATGATTAGAGGTTAGTTGGTTCTTTCAGACTGTTTTGTTTATGTCTCTAAAATCCACTTTATTGTATAGGTATTCTGTGGCCGTCATTGTATCGAGGTGGGAGATCGCAGAATTTGAATAACACCTAGGACTGATTTATTGTGGCAGATGGCAAGACTATAAATGACAATGCATGGATATAAACTGGGGCTAATCTCATCACAGTATGCCCTACCGAATTAGGCCAGATATCCCCCCCCCCTTGGAATCAACGAACTTCCTTTTGAATAAGGGACAGCAGCAGTCTTTTCGGTAGAGGAGTGTATTGGGAATTAGCAAGGGGAGAGGTAAAATTAAAAGTGCTTAACTCTACAGGTACGGGAGGGTATGGAATAAGGAAAGAAACTTGTGTTTGGAAGAACAAGAAGTTGATCTTAGCACTTGGAGTGAGTTAATTGGCTAAATTTGTTCTTCACTTGCGCACGTGTTATGCATTGGCATGGCAATATCTTTAATCTTTGTGTGAAATGCCCATATGGGAGATCTATTTAGTATTGCTTCAAAGCTGTATTCTATATTATTTTCTTTTAATTAATATTGAAGCAGCTTTTATAAGAACCAAACGTAGTTCAAAGCTAGTGCCTTTGTTTTACCTTGGGGTGGTATCTAAGTTATTCATCGGCCTTATCAATTAGTTGGAGGTGACTTAATGACATATAATGTCTTGGGGCCTAACTTCACAAACCGTGATCAAGCCTATTCACCAAAAAAGAACGCGAATTGTGTTAAATCAGCAACTTTTTATTTCCCCTCTTTTCCGTTACTGTTGTCATGTTCATATCTCTACCTACCAGGTACCGCGATGATTCTCGCAATGAAAGCAGTTTCTGCATCAACTCTACAAGTCCATGGACGAGATTCGAAAGGTCTGACTTTTATCAGAATGGGTTTCTTTCGTCACTACTTGTTCTGGTGCGGATATGCCCTCTCTCCGGGCAGTGTAATTTTTGGACCATGGTTAAGCTTCGATCAATACTTCCAAGCCATCAAACTCACCGAGTCAACATTCACATCGGTAAAAGATTTACACGTATTTTTTTCTCCATTCCCATTGCTTCACTAAATTAGTTGTTTATTTATGTTGTCCTAGCCCATTAGGCATTGCCCATCAATAAACATGCCCTCCCCTCTCAGGCTAAAATTAACAGTTGATCAATTGAAGGCCACTAATTGAGCATGAATGGATGGAGATACTGGCACGCATCTTTTAACTTCATACCGGTAACTAGGATGTCCACAGCAAAAGCTGGAGTAGCGAAAACCCTGCCCATCTAAGACGAGAGAGTAGTTAAATTGTCTTATTGGGGGGGGGGGGTTGTCTGTGGCCCATTCAAGGTAGACGAAATAGTCAACTTAAAAGTCAGTGGGAGGGGTTTTTATCGAACATACTCTGTTTGCTATAGTCAGGATAAAAATTCGTGTTGTGTTGATCATATGTATTGCTCATCTGTATATCTTAAGTTTCAACATACTGTCGGCTATTTCATAAGCTTATCTTACAACATTTGCTTCCTTTTTAAATGTTAAGACTTTGATAATGGTTTCAATTTCTGCCTTTTAGCTGTTTAGGGATCTCCTCCAGTCAGCGCTCTCTTGCTTTATCGCCTGTCTCTGCATTATCTACTCAACATATCTCTCTTCCATCATCTACTCTTCTTATTTCCTCACCTTCCGATGGACAAACGCCTACGCACAATCTCAGAGCTTTCGTTTCAGCCATTACTTTGTCAGCTTCTTCAGTCAGGCTATGCATCAGGCTATTGGATTTGCGGCTGTTACGAATCCTAGATCGTGAGTTTCATCACTACTCCATTCCACTAGTAGTTTGACTGCTCCAGCACTTTCTATCATTTTAACTTCAAGTAAGTTGAATATAGCCGGTTGGATAACTATAGGAAAATTAAGGGAGCAATGACCAATCTACTACTTAAGAAGGGAATATAGGTGACTCAAAAATGCATATATCATTCTGTTTTTACTATTGATAACTATGCTTTTTGATAGCAGAAGTTTCCAGTTTTCTCGCTAAAACCAACAACAAAAGCACTCATCTTAAGAAGAGCATTTTGATGGTCTTCCTGAATGCCAGAGGCGAAATCCTCAATCTAAGGGTTTTGATTTGTAAGCAACCAAAGAATTGATCAGACTGGAATACTGGACAGCATGCGGAAACCGATGTGGTTTATATTTATAATGAAGTGTTTGCAAATTACATCAGCTAAATCCATCGATTCTCTCTCACCAACCACGCAGTCATACAAATCGATCAAAAAGATCTTAAGGACTTATTTCATAGCATTTTAATTAACTCAACTTGAATATCAAGATATTACCATAGCTTTTACAAGGACCCGGTATATTCAAACCCCTTAGAATTCTAATAAGGTAACGCTCCGCGCCCCCCCCCCCCCCTTTACTATGTTGTATTTTCAATATTATTGTTGGTTGGTAATATATGGTGAAATAGTTCCAAGTTAGCATCAAAATCTATGTGAATATCTGCATTTGAATGTAATATATTCGCGTGTGCAGATGAATAGGAGGGGAATCGATGCAAGCTCAATTTCACACCAGTGCATCCAGGCTCTATCCTAAAGAGCAACAGGTGTATTGATGACAAAACTCGTGTCCAGTAATTTGGATTTGTCTGTGATCTCAAGTCACTTATTGTCGTCACCATGGGAATAGGATTTATAAAGCATTGCTTTTATATAAATATTACTGCATTTTAGTCAACACTTTGGTGTTACTGCTTTGGTGACAAATCCAATCCCAGTGGAGTTGCCTCGATCTCTTGTGGATGTTGTGGTTCATTGGAACTTCCCAATGCATATTTGGCTCAAACAATGTAAGGCCTCTATTTTAATTTGTTCAATTTTTAAATTGTGTTCTTCGACGTCCTTTTGCTCTCTTCGTGTTTAAAGATATATACAAACCTACTAGGCGTTTCGGTCAGCTTCCCGCCCTACTCCTTACCTATGCTTTCAGCTCTCTGTTACATGTACGTCCCTTATATTCTCACCCATTTTTTGTAAAATCCTACTTATCAGTTGTCAGTAGAATACGTTCTCGGTAGTTCGAAAAGAATCGTGATCCAAATGGCACTTGATGATATACTTTCAGAGAATCAACTTAACCCGTTAATTTGGTTGCATCACACCACACAGTGGATCCTATCTAATTTTTAGATATATTTATTTATTTATTTCAAATGGCAGGCATTTTGAT